GTGTGTGTGTGTGTGTGTGTGTGTGTGTGTGTGTGTGTGTGTGTGTGTGTGAGAGAGAGAGAGAGAGAGAGAGGCAGAGAGCAACACTCGTCCGTTGGCCTGCCGCGGGGGAGAAAAAAAAAGTCGAGAATCGATCCGTGATCAGTCGTTACTCAGAAAGATCTGAATCCAAAAGGCATGATTACATAACCAACTAAAATCTCCTCCGTCACCATGGAAACAAACGTGAACCAGAACGCCAACAAATAAATATAGCTGCAAGTGTGGTGTGTTATTGTCAAATAAGTGTGGCAGTTGCGTCACATCTGTAAACCATCACGATGTGCAGATTGAGAAAATTTTAAGTCATGAACCTTACTTTTGTTCTTATTTGGTACTGTGCAAAAGTCTTGGGTGTCTTGTTTTATTTTGAAGGAATTGGACTTCCTGTTAATCTTTTATAATAGTCATGATTCTGCATGATTTTAAAGCCATTTGTTAATCTTGGCTGCTTGTTTTCATTCAGCTATTAGCCGAAATGTTGGTACAATTTGGTTGTTCTTTGCAATAATCTGCTCTGAACAAAATAAAAAAAAATGTAATTTTTGGTAAGTTGTCTGCTTTTTAACAAAASAAAATAGGTTTATTCTTTGAGTTTGGGTACCTTTTTTCCTTTATTATTCATAGATCTGTGTTTTTTGGCTTGCATGCTAAAGTTTAAACAGAGATCTTGTGCGGTTTGTTAGTGCTCAGAGTTTACAACAAAGGAATTAACATCCATCTAAAATCATATATGATGAATAGTCTTGTATTGTTGAAAAATAAGCCCAGGGTCTTAGAAGAACTTGCAAAAGACTGAAAAAGCCAATGTTTGTACCACATTTAATAAAAAAAATAGTCACCTTTGTCAGGCTTGGATGGTGAAGAGAAGCACATGCTGACCCAGATATAATTAGGTTATAGTGTTGCAAAACCAACTCAATAATCTGACTGCACTGGTGTTAATGGAGTATTTTATCTGAACATAAGAAGTAAATCATTCAAAGTTATTCTAGATCACAACAAATTGTGAGTTTTTAAAGTTGTGAGACTAACATTTAGGGAGATCCCCGTACATGAACAATTTAGGATTAATTATGYATTTTTGTTTGTCTGTGTGTCACAGCTCTGGCGTGTCAAAGACGGCTCTTTGCTAAAGATTTGTTCCCAAGAAAGTAAAGACGGCATGGACTCCCTTCACGGAGGCTGGGTGACAGATCTCCACTTCTCACCAGACAACTCTCTTCTCGTCTCAACTGGAGGCTACATCAAGGTAGGCGAACGCAGACTTGAAATCCTTACGACTTACTTAGAATCTTGACGAAGAGAATGCACTTCTGTCTTCAACAATGGAAGTTTAATTCAGTTTTTTTCTAACATCTCACTTAGCTCATGAATAAATCCCAAATGTTTGTTTTACTTAAGCACCTGTGCGTGTCAGAACTAAAAAAGATCCACCACGGTGTTTTGGCAGATGTAGAACTGCTTTATGCTTTGCCAGGCTTTATTTAAAGCCTTTATTAGAAAACTAATTTGCAAGATGACAGAAAATTACAGCGGGAAAGGGCAGAGAGATTAGAAAAAAGCATCATTAAAACAATGTTTCCTGCTGGATCTGAGTCAGAGATGTTGATGGTTTATGTCGGATGCTTTTCTTGAGATTTGTTTGGTATGAGGGGGGGGGGAATGGCTTGTGTTTTATTAGGACATAAATCGTAGTTCTGTAAATTACAAGCATGACAGAAACTATTCTTTGTTAAAGAAAAACAAGAATGATTGGTCACAAAGTTCTTTCATTAAAACAGCCTCACAAATAATAAAACATAAGCTTTAAAGAGCGATTTAAACCGGATTTATAAACCACTGCTATTCTACAGGGCGCTGAGAGAGAACAGATGGGAAGTGGACAAAAATGTGTGTTTTGTCCCACCCACGGCTGGACCTCAAGTATAAACTGGTCAGCGTATTAAATATTAAAAGCTACAGACCTTATTTTTCTGTGTCCTCCTTCACTGCACAAACAGTTCTGAGTCATCAAGGAAGGAAATGTGGTACCATTTGTCACCAACAAGGATCAGGCCGAGATTACCATGGCACAGTCTAAAGCCCTATTCCATCGCATAGACCGATCCTAAGCTCTGAATATACCAATAAATTTGCCTTGCTGATTGTTAAATTATATACTGAATGAGACCTTGTGTGTGTTTCAGCCCACACAATGGGTAAATCCATGTTTCTAACATGCATAGTAAARAATACTTGGCTGTAACATGAATGAAAACGTGCTAAAGTGATGGTCAATACAAACTAAACCCATCTTCTTCTTTTCTTACACACACCCCAGAAAGGCTTAAAACTAAATTAGTTTCCAGCTAGAATAAGTTTGTTTGCGTTTTTGTATGATTTGTGGCTTCRTTTGGGGAAAATTGGCTTTAAAAAATAATAATAAAGTACGGGCTTCTGTTTGATGCTATGCTTCTTTGTCAACCAGGCGGCATGACTAGTTACTGCAGCCAATGGGTTATTTTCAGCGGTGCACAGCTTTTGCTTCCAATTCCATAAGCCTCACCAGCAGCGCAGCGGTAAGCCTTTATTTATTGCAAAAGGGGAGCAGAGGAATGACTAAACAGCTGACGTTTTGAGCAGGAGTAAGACAAGAGGAACAGAAGAGTTTTATCTTATATTAAAATGGCACCTATAAAACTATAAAATGAACACAAGATGCAGTTAGATTTCTTTTAGTTATTTTGCTTTATGACATCAAACATCAGTATTAGCGCTTTAGTGATGATCTCCACCAMAACCATGAATATTACCATCTGATCTAATGAGAGGTCTGTAATACAACTAAGCTCAACTGGTCTTTTTCACTTGGACAATTCATGCWGAAAAAAAGCAACTGCCGAGTGAGGTACTGTAATCAAGCCRGGTTCCCACCAAACGCATTTTGAGCAGCCAAGATGCTCCTGCCCCATGCGTTTGGCTGCTTGTCAACAGCTGTCCGTTCACACCGAAYACGTCTGAAGACGTGCAATGGGAGGAGCGTCTTTGTTCGTTTTCCGGTCTGTTGACRTTTGAAATAAAGATAAAATAAATAAAATAGCTTTGCTTTATTTACTAGAGAGCAAGCGAACTTGCGCACAGCAGCATTATCTGGTGAATAATTAATTCACCAGATAATTTAGAGGCGCTCTGATGGACTTTTTTTTTCTGACCGGGACCAGTCTGTCTTTAAAGTCGGGTGAAATAAAGATAAAATAAATAAAACGGCTTTGTTTTATTTACTAAAGAGTAAGCGAACTTGCGCACAGCAGATAATTAATTCACCAGATAATTTAGAGGTGGTTTAGTTTCGCCACTCCAGGAGCTGCGAACTGAGGGACTTTTTTTTTGTCCCGAGCTCAGCGAGCTGCTATCTTATCACATCGGTGCTGATTATCTCCAGCCAGAACACCAACTGCAGACGGTCGATTTCAGCTAAAGGCTCCTGTCTGTGTCGGGTTCATGAAACMGTCACGTGAAAAAAAATATTCTCCCCCGATTGGTTGCTGCTGTGCGTCGAGCAGCCAAAATTCAATTTGTTGAACTTCAGCAGCTGCTGCTTTGGACCTTGCCGCATGTGCTGAAAATGCTCTGCTGTACCTACCGCTACCTTGCGCGCTGCTCTGAACTGCCAAAACGTGCTGCAACACGCTGCGCTGCTCCTAGATGCGCGGCCACCTTAGACTTTGCATGTAAACTGGCTGCTTTTGCTGCTCCAAACGCGTTTGGTATGTAACCAGCTTCATCCTCCTACTGCAGCATGTCACACGCAAACAGCTACTTGAAATTTGCTATTGTAGTTTTTGGCTTACACCGCTCTGACTATGGCTACTCCATTATGTTGACACTTGTATTTGTGAGCATTGTGACCATCCTAAGTGGTTCATTAAACCTTAATTGGACTATTTTTTTGTTTGTTTCTTGGGGTCGTTTTACCACTCATTCAAAAGGCATCTTCAATCTGACCATGGTTTGGGAGTAACAGGCTTATAAGTTGCTGTTAAAATGATCTCAATAGCATGGAGGCCGTAGAAGTCATGTGAGCACATACCTACATTTGCTGTTGTTGGAAATTTGCAGGTTGATGATAAAACACTCTTAATGTTTACTTTTGAGAAACATGTCAATGCCACCCTGTGACGTGACTGGAATCAAGCACGCCTCTTTGTTATTGTCTTCCCTGTTCCAGCAGATGGGGTCACGGAGCGGCCAGCTTCTGCTGGGTGCTGATTGACTATTCGTTGAGTGATGATGTAATTCTCTTGGGACGAAGCCTTCAGATCGATGAGGCTGTGTTTCTCAGATTACTCCTGATACTCTGCGTGGGGGAGCTGCTGCTGCTGCTGTTGTGTTCATGTGTTGTGCACGCGCACTTTTGTTTGTACGTGCATGCGCGGGTCGATGGAGATGTTTCTGTTGATAGCAGTGGATTCTGGGGTTACGGCTTTTTATAGACGAATGGCCGATGCAGATCCTCATGTCATCTCCAGCAGATTCTTCATAAAACCTGGAAATCATTTGAAACAGATTTTCTTCTTTTGCTTGATGCATTTTATTTTCTGTGTATGAWTTTTGTTCAGTCAGCTGCACTGAGTAGAAATAAGAGAAGTAGAAAACCCTAAATGTAAGGAAATTACATCATAAAGTKCTAAATGCCTTAAGCTGTATTTGGCTGCTGAGTCAGTATAAAGCAAAAATGTCAATTGGAGGGAAAGGGAATGAAAGTTAGTGCAATATTACAGTTGATTGGTTGTGTACTCGGAGTCTCTAGGAGTGCAGAAAAGTTSATTTTAGTCTTTCCCAGTGCTGCATAGGTACTGTTTGGGTCATATTTTTCAACCCATTCAGTTTTCTCTATTTTCTGTGACGTTTTCTGAACTATTATGTCAAATTATTTGCGACGGAACTGCCAAATAAGGTCAGACTTACCAACTACAGTTTTGGTGGTCTTCATTYTCCTCTGGCTCTGGGTCAGACTCTGGCTCCAACATGTAAGTCTGGATGGACAAGTCTTCCCTTGTTGACATCTTTTATTATTCTGTAAATAAAAAGTTTCTGCGCTGCTATATGGTCAAAAAYCCCTCTATCAAACTGGAATGGACCAGTCTGGAAGCTGGAAGGGGTGGGGCGTTGTGACAGACACAACGCCCCACCCCTCAAAACGAGTTGCTCTGAGACGCATCTCAGAAAATAAGTGAAAGAGGGGCTTGTGGAGTTACAATAGTGGTTATTTCAGACCAAAGCATTGCAGTTTCACTTTGTATAGATCCCAACTGAATGATTTGAAATGTGAAAAAGAAGGATTTAAAACTATATAATGTGTTTACTTTAACTGTTCAGTCTGTTTCTTCATGGATTTACCTGTTATCCTTCATACCTTGAGCCCGTTGAACATGACCTTCATACCTTGAGCCCGTTGAACTTGACCTTGATCATCATCCAAGAACCCATCGAGACAACCAGTAAATAAGTAAATAAATAGTTGTTCTTAAATGTGCATCTAGGCGTGCTTTTATAAAATTCRACCCAGCAGAAAGCATAAAAGCCAACGAGGAGGCGGCACTGCCACATCGCTCCAGTCAAGGTGACACCTGTGTGTACATATTCATGATTGTTGACTTGATGGATCAGCRTGCGGACGTGAGGAGAGGTGATGGATTACTCTGCCGTTGGAGAGGACTTCCTGTCTGTCACAGTAATTACCCTGACAGATAACGGAGCTCCCAGACCAAGAGGGCATAAAGATAATCTCGACTGTCTATTAGCTTTAATAACCATTGTCGTTTAATGGATTCACATTTAAAATACCTCTCATATCTCACCTCTTCTCTGTCTCTAAGATGTAGGTAACAATAAAAATAAAAATTGCCATGTAAATATGAAGCAAGAAYATTATTTGTTTAAAAAACATTTCCAGAAGGGTGATTAGTTTTGTAATTATCTTTACGTCAGTCTTGGGGAAAAAGTTTGACAGGCATCTGAACGCCCTCGTAAGGATATCTGGATTGTTTATTCCCAGCTGGTGTAAAGAAGAGACTTTCATTATGTGGGAYCAAAAGGATTGACTACAATGTGCATTTGGATGATAAATGTAGACCGATAGATATTGAAGTTTATCCTGAAAAGCTCTAAACYGAAGCTTAGCTGAGAATAGTGAGTACTTGTTGTAGACGTCTACCAGAAATCCACACTGAATATCCCGGTTGGGGTAACAACCACACGATGACCTTT